ACCCTATGGATCACTGAGTCCAACCCCCTGTCAAGTAGGCACAGTGGGGAATCAAACTCCCAAACTCTATAAAGTGTATTACTGCATGATGAGCAATCAGCCTCCGGTGTGTCCCATTACATGGCAATTGCAGCTTCAGAAACAAAACCAATACTAGTTTTGATCAAAAGAGAGTATTTGGACCTGTCTTTTGCTTGATTATCGATACCTGTATTCTTTATGACACTTTTAACTAAATGGTATTAATTAACAACCTGCTTCATGCAGGATTCTCTGAAGTTGGTTTCAACATTTTTTGAACTCTTTAGCATATGACGCAGAAAAAGGCTCTGTATAAGATCCATAGCAAGATGACTGAGTGTCATGATATATTAGCAGCCATGACTGTTGGTTGTTTAATGTTAGACTGCTCTTTTAAGTTTGCATTAAATAATTAGATAGAACAGAAAATAATCTTAGTTAAAATTTAATTCAGACTAGTTCATGTAATTAGGTATCTTGTGTAGCATGAACATGGGAAATCATGAAATGTGAAGGACATTGTTTTTGCTGTTAGTTAGGCATCCTTCAGTCTTGAAAGACTATGGTAACGTGCTCTGTATGGAGGACTTGAAACAGCATCTAGTGTGGCTGAGGAGGCAATTCAAGAGTGACAATCCCTTCCACACTGAAGACAAATCCAATCTGTCCCCTTTCCTGTTCCCTGATTTTGCTGCTTTTGTGACTTCCTCTTTGCCTTGACCTGCTGCACAAGGGTGTCTTCAAAATGGGAGAGGCCGTGGTGCAACGCCTGCCTCCAGGCTGAACTCTCAGATATCAGGGTTTCCCATCTGGGGTTTCCCATCTGTTGAGGTCCATTCCTAAGGCCTTCAGATCCCGCTTGCTGATGTCCTTGTATCGCAGCTGTGGTCTCCCTCTGGGGCGTTTTCCCTGCATTAATTCTCCATACAGGAGATCCTTTGGAATCCGACCATCAGCCATTCTCATGACATGCCCAAGCCAACGTAGACATCACTGTTTCAGTAATGTACAGTGGATCCTCTACTTACGGAATTAATCCATATTGGAATGGTGGCTGCAGGTCGAAAAGTCTGTAGATCGAGTCTCTATTGACCTATAATGCATTGAAAACCGATTAATCCTGTAACCGACCACTTTTGTTCCATTTTGGTTTTTATCTAGTCTGTAGGTCGATCTCTGGCAGCAAGTCGAACCTAAATTTTGCGGCTAGAGAAGTCTGTAACTTGAAAAGTCTGTAAGTTGAGCCGTCTGTAAGTCGAGGGTCCACTGTATATATGCTAAAAATTCCAGCTCATTCTAGGACTACTCTATTTGGAACTTTGTCCTGCCAGGTGATACCAAAAATGCGTTGGAGGCAACGCATATGGAAGGTGTTCAGCTTCCTCTCCTGCCATGCACAAAGGGTCCAGGACTCACTGCAGTACAGGGAGTGTGCTCAGGACACAGGCTCTATAGACCTGGATCTTGCTATATGTCGTCAGCTTCTTATTAAGCCATACTCTCTCTGTGAGTCTAGAGAACATGGTAGCTGCTTTGCCAATGCGTTTATCCAGCTCAGCATCTAGAGAGATCTAGATGAGATCGTTGAGCCAAGGTACACAAATTCATGAACAGCCTCCAATTCTTGTGTGGAGATGGTAATAGAGGGAGGTGAGTCCACGCCCTGGCCCATTACTTGTGTTTTCTTCAGGCTGATTGTTAGTCCAAAGTTGTGGCAGGCCTTGCTAAAACGATTCATGAGTTGTTGGAGGTCTTCAGCAGAGTGGGCAACAATGGCTGCATCATCTGTGAAGAGGAAGTCCTGTATGCATTTTAGTTGGACTTCGGTCTTCGCTCTCAGTCTAGAGAGATTAAAGAGCTTTCCGTCTGATCTAGTCCAGAGATAGACACCTTCTGTTGCAGTTCCAAAGGCATGCTTCAGCATGACAGCAAAAAAGATCCCAAAAAGTGTTGGCGCGAGGACACAGCCCTGTTTCACTCCGCTTTGGATGTCAAAGGAATCTGATGTCGAGCCATCAAAAACTACAGTGCCTTTCATTCTCTCATGGAAGGACCTGATGATGGAGAGGACACTCCAGCTTCGCATACAGCGTTGCATACAGCGTGATTTTGCTGTTAGTTATTTAGTAAAATAAAGGCATGTTGTATCCAGGTCTACAGATAGAAACATTGCATGAAACATTCATAACTGCATACCATGTATGAGAATCTAATCACAGTTATCCTAGAAAATTTTGCAATTGATATCTAAACATTGCATGTACTGTCTTTTAGGGTTGCCATATCTCATGTAAGGCTTTTAAACTGCAACATACCAATTGTACATTGTATTGAGAATTACCAGCAAAATCTATGCTCTCATGTGTTCTGTTTTGTGTTTGTATGACAAGGCTCCCAACAACAGTAGTACACCTTTTCTGTATCTTTCTCATCAGTCTTTGCCAAGCTGCTGCTGTGTGTTGTGGCATCTTTCCATTAAACACTCAATCACTATCAAAATGATCAGTATTGCCTCCCCTCCATCCATGCATTTAAGTCTCCTGCTAATGCAGACTGGATAAATATAGCCTCCAGTTCAGCTACGATATTTTCCCAAACTTTCCCCCAAATAAGCTATTTAAAGTGCTGAAGTCTGAGCAGGGTGTGGTGAAAATAAAAACATTCATAAATAAATAAGAGATGTGTGTATGTTTGTGTATGTGTATTATATGTGTGTGTGTGTGGTTTTTTTTTTTAACCATCACCACCAGAAACTAGGTTCTTGAACTTTGGCAGAGAACATAAATAAGAGATGTGTTTATGTTTGTGTATGTGTGTTATGTGTGTGTGTGTGTGGTTTTTTTTTTAAACCATCACCACCAGAAACTAGGTTCTTGAACTTTGGCAGAGAAATGCCTAATCTACCACTATGTCTTCTTTGAATAGTAATCAAGAAGAGTATTAATTTTAGCTTCAGTTTTTTGTACAGCCGTGATTTTTAAAAAATGAAAACTCTTGGATCTTATTGTAACCGTGACTCTGGGAGAGCTTTAAAAAAATAACATTTTCTTGTATAATATCACTTCAACTTTCTGCCCTTCTATCAGGGTGCTGCTACAAAAAAAGACCCTGCCTCATGTATCTATTATCCTAAACTCTTGGTGGTAGACAGGTCAACATCAAAACTTCTGATGCAAATTCAACGTTCTGGACCAACTCATACTGTTGTAGGCAATCCTTCGGATAACCTGGTCCCAAGCTTCTTTAGTATGCATACAGTGGTGTTCAGTTTATTTCTAAGAATGCCTTTCCCATTTAAAAGTTGGAGAGCTTTGTTCTTAAAGACAGACGTGTTTTAATAAAGTCAGACTTGTATAACCTTAGAGAATGAGGTGCAGTCTAGTCCTTGTTCAGATTTCAGTATAACATTGCATTGGTTCCGCACTCTTGTTTTCCAATCAAAATCATAGAGAACCTTTACCAAAGAGACATACGGAATAGAGGAATGTTGATGTGGGTCCATAGAGAATCATGGTCAATGGTGACTTTCAATTTCATATTGGAAGTTCAGGCTATATGTGAGTATAGACCTTTTCTGTCTTTATTACTTTAGACTGATTGCCAGAAGCAAGGAAGCTTTCAAACTAGGCTTATGGTGGCTGATACCACATTTTTAATTAGGCATTTTCAAATAGCCTTGCAGGCTGCCAGAGTTGTGACCTGTCAGGTTGATAAGAGACTGCTGTTCCTCTCTTGATACCAGCTTAGCCTGCGATTGACACTTGTACCCAATTTGTATGACTGTTTGAGGAGTTTGTGTTGCTCTTCGTCTTGATAGGCTTGTTTGTTTACAAAAAATTCAGCACAATCACAAATCTTCCAGTATTTTTGTGTGTTCAGAGTTTTCTTGAATATGAGTCTGTTTACAATTCAACCTTGATTACCCAGGCTATTCCTTTTGCAAATTGACTGACAAGGATTTGTGGGTAGTAATAGCCTTCCTCATCTTTGTTGGCTGGTAGAATTTGGTTATGCTTTCAGAGTGTGAGATTGATTCCAAGGAGCTTGATGTTCCAGCAAAAAGTACTTCAGACCTTTTTCAGAGAGAGAGAGAGAGAGAGAGAGTGAGAGAGGGAAAAGCTTGTGATTTGCTTTTCCAACATGAACTTTGCTCTACAGTGAATCTTGTCTTAGAGGATTTTTTAGCCTTCTGGAGTAGCTGGGGGAAATAAGAGCTGTAGTTTGTTCTGTGGACAATAAAGCCTTGTTGTGTAAATAGAGCTCCATATGTGGCTCCTGGGACCACAAAAGTTTGACAACTCTCATTTTGTAGACTTTAACAGATGTTTTACATTGTGTGCCATTTTAGTGTTTTTATATCTAAACTGTTATATGAATGCCAACTTCTTTTCAACACTATCTCCTTATCACTTTCTACATCTGCACATTTCTTAGGAACTCACAGAAGTCCATCTTCCATTTATTTCTTACTTATTTTATGGACATTCAGTGACTTTAACAATTCTCAAATAAAATTAAAACATAAAGGAGATAAAAATGGAAAGAAATTACTGTACATGGAAAAAGAGCTTGAAAAAAACAACAGTTTATTATTATATAATTAATGACTTATTATTGCCATAGTAATAGCTTACAGGATTATTTGCTTGAATGTTGATTTCTTGGGCAACCTGTATGAGATAGTGATAATAATAACATACCTTCCTCATAGTTTTGATCTCTATATTGAAGAAGAAAATATGATCAAATGTTCTTTAAATAAACAACTAAGGAAGCAAAATGGTGTAACTGTATGTAATAGATACATGCTGCGAAATGCAGCTTTGTGTAAAAAACATGGATTACCTGCTCTTTGTCTAAACATGTAGCTAACTCAGGACCATCTATTATATATATTATTTTTATTGAACTCCCATATTGGCTTATTAGAATGGGTTAGTATAGGGATGATGCTAATGTTTCTTATATTTTTCTTCTAGATTGATAACATCTCACCCGACACCATTGTCAACTACATGGTGCAGAATTCCAAAGGAAAAACACCTACTTTGACTCAATCAGTAGCAGCCCATTCAAATTATGTTGAAAACTTCCCAGTGAGAACCTTCAGACAACAAAAGATTGGCAAGTTCTCATCAAACCCTGAAGAGCAATTTGACAGAAAGGCTTTATTGACAGCATTAAATGCATACATCACTCAGAAGGTGGAAGCAAAACACCTTGGTGGAATTCCATCCAAAGAGTCTTCCTCTTATACCACTAGGCTGAAGCCTCCCCATATTGACCATCTTGATGGAACAATGTTCAAAGAAAAAACAGGAGATTTTAAGATGAATCCAGCATTCCTACAAAGGCCTATATCTGGACTGACATTTAGTTCTTACCAGAGCAATGTGAGGATGCCTCTTACTCCAGTAGATGGTAAGGCATGCATATAAACTAATTTTGTATGTACATCAATCATGTACATTTTATGGGCAAGTGTTTTTCAAACTGTTTTAGGGAACCAGAGATTCTTTGGAAGACTCTCAAGGACTTTCTCAGGAAAGCCATCAGTAATAGCACAAAAGCTTCTGTGGAGGTAGTGCAGTGGCACTACCACCGATTGTCCTAGGAAATATACAGCTGCAGGAGAGGGACAGCATGCATTCTTGGTCAGGGATTCTCAACTCTTCTTATCTTACATATCACCAGTCTACCAAAGACCTTACATCCCACATGAGGGAAACAAAAAACCCCACCTTTTCCAACAAGAGCATTTATGAATTGCAGTAATATGGCTGAAGTATATACAGCTAAAAAACCTAAGAATTTCATTAGTAGTTGAAAACTGTAATAATATTGTTGAAAAACACAAAGATAGCAAATAACATTATTGGGATAAGAACATTATTTAGAAAGAATTATACGACTGCTACTAAAAGACAGACAAACAGGACTAATGAATCTGGAGTTTCATGTTCTGAAAAGCCTGCAGTTTCATGTTTCAGTCCTAGACTAAATGCAAAGCACTGCACCTAGGAAAAAGAAACCAAACAAACAGTTGCAAGATAGGGGATACCTGGCTCTGCAATACTACAAGTGAGAAGGAACTTGGAATTGTCATGAACACAAGCTGAATATGAGCCAACAGTGTGATGTGGCTACAAAATAGGCAAATGCTATTTTAGGCTGCATTAACAGAAGTATAGTCTCCAAATTCCATGAAGTACTAGTTCCTCTCTATTTGGCACTGGTTAGGCCTTATCTCGAGTACAGTTCTGGACTCCTCACTTTAAGGAGGATGTCATCTAGAGATGGAAGGTGGTGCTGAGTTCCATCTTCCTTCTCCCAGACTGCCTGGTGCTCTTACCTGGCTCCACATGCTGCTGGGGTCCTTCTTTGGCAGTGGCAGTCCAATCCAGGCAGGACCCTAGACAGCCTTTTCCCACCTCCCCAGGCAGTCAACCACTCATTGGTTGTCCCGCCTCCTCACCAGAGATACTCGTTCCCCTCTATTTGGCACTGGATAGGCTTCATCTTGAGTTCTGTGTCCAGTTCTGACACCACACTTCAAGAAGGTTGCTGACAATTTTGAACAAGTTCAAAGGAGGAGAATAAGGATGATCAGAGGGCTAGAAACCAAGCCCTGTGAGGAAAGTCTGAAAGAAAGCCCTGTGAGGAAAGACTGAAAGAACTGGGCATGTTTAACCTTGAGAAAAGAAGACTGAGGGGAGATATGATAGCACTTTTCAAATACTTCAAATGCTGTCATACAGAGGAGGAGCAGAATACGCAACAAGTTGCAGGTAGCCAGATTTCAGTTGAATTTCAGGAAGAACGTCCTAAATGTCAGAGCAGTATAGCAATGGAATCAAGGCCACTGAAGCTCATAGACATTATAGAACATTTCCCAGAGCCCTCTGAAATGTGCAGGGATTCTGTGATAGATGTTTATCAGGAAATCAGTGTGTAATGCTTTGAAAACACAATGTGTGAAAATCATTGCTGCTGTCAAAGGAAGAATAATTGTTTTTTATTCAGATGCCTGATAGCTCTTGAGGTTCTTACAATCTAATTCTCCTTTAACATAGTCTGCAATGTCAGCTGATAACTAGTTCTTGATAACATTTGTACGACTAAACACGGAAAGCTGTTACCTTACCACCGAGGTGGTACCTATTTATGTACTTGCATTTTTGCATGCTTTCAAACCATTAGGTTGGCAGGAGCTGGGACAAGCGACAGGAGCTCACTCCATCACATGGATTCAATCTTACGACTGCTGGTCTTCTGAACCTGCAGCACAGAGGCTTCTGCAGTTTAACCTGCAGTGCCACCACGTCCCTGAGTTCCAGAGTTCCGGAAGGACAAAAGGCTTGCCGTCCTCCTCCTCCCCCTGCCCAGGGCACAAAAGCCTAGCAGTTTTTCTTCCGGGGCCTCCACCCAGCCGCCCTCTTCCTCCTCTTTTATACCTCTCTCCACTCAACTAGCTGCTCCTGTTTCCCCCTGCCTACGCCTTCCTCCCAGGTCTGCAGTTCCTCGTCCTCCACCTCCTTGTCCCCACATGGTGTCTTCACCTTTGGTCAGCCCTGGAACTAGAATTTTGGGGAAGTCCACCAGCCTGCAGATGAGGCAGGCAGCCCACTCAGTATGGCAGAGCTTGTCCCTCTTGCAGTTATGCATACCATGTTTTGATGTGTTTTTCTTACAGTCTTCTCTGTTTTTTGCTTTCTTTTTGTTTGGAAGCTCAAAATCTTTTGAAGTGTTGCTGTTTAGTCAGAAGAGAGCCCAAAGAGACTGCCTTCACGCTGAGGCACCTGTCTAATAATAGGTTTCAAAAAGTAAATTTCAATGTAAAGGCAAGTCCAGGTGGCCTTGCACATCTCTAGAACAGGACTGCTGTTAGAGGAAACTAGGCCCATGCTGGTTTCATTATCATGTACTGTCCTAGTTCACCTTTCTTAGCAGGATACTACATAGAATAATACTTCACACTTACAGAGAATAAAGTCCTTCAAAAGGTATTGGATTTTACCAGTTTAATTTCCAGATATAAAATATGTCTTGGAATAATGTTTCACCATGTTTGGCTATAATACTGAACATTTCCTTTGAATGCAAACAAACAAAAAATCGGTTGTTGGTTTGTTATATAGGCTTGAATAGTATTCAGTGGGTACAACACAGGATGATTTTCAATTTCTAGCTCCTTGAAATTTATTCAAAAGCCAAGTTTTTTCTTTTCTTTTTTAAGCTTGCTGCCAATAATCCAGTCTAGTTTCTTCGGACTAGTGTATCGTCAAATATATAAGACTTAACAAATTTTTCAAAGGTACTACTATCCATTGGCTGTTCTTGGCCTTATAATTATAATGGGCAAGGATTGTTGGGTAATAGCAGTATTTAGTATTTTTTGCCTAGTTTTCCTAAAATGTCATTCACCTTTTACAAGAAGCTTAACATGAGGAGATATTTGTTTGAATCAGAGAAGTCAGATGGTTTCTCTATCTCCAATTTATTTAATGAACCAGAAAGACCTGCTGAGAATCTTTTAGTGGACTCTGAAGTTGGGCTGTTGGCCATTAATTTTCTCCCATTTGATTTCTTTCTCTTTATTTTTATTTTGCTCACAAGTATTACTGTGTTTTGCTATAAACCATGGAACCTGGGGAAATAGGCTGGGGAGATAAGACCTGATTGAAAGAAAAGGAAATGAATCGGAGGTGAATGAAACTGAAATGGTAAAGTTGCATTAACACCTTATTCTTCAGCAACTTTCATTTCTGTTGGACAGTTCATTATGAACTGAAGAATTAAACTGAATTTGCCAGGGGATGGCCTGTCAAAAACAATGTTAGAATTACATAATAGTATTTTAGACTAGATTAATGCAATAGTGGCAATACTGGTGGTAGTGATCTGCTGGTAATTTTTGACTATTAAAGGCCCTCTTCTTCTCTGTCTGAAGGCTCCCAAAGGATGGAAACCCTGGACAGCCTCAGAACATGAAAGAGAGATGTATTTAAATTATTTTCCCCCATTTTTGGTTTATCTGAGTATAACTACATGGACAGGATTTTGCCCACTGCAATGTAAACATTACTTGTAAAATCAACAATTATGTGGCTCACAGATATTCATCATCCCCCATCCCACAATGCAAGCAGGGATATCCTGTGCTAAATATTATGCTTGTAGCCCCTGAGAGAAGCTATCCATGTCCTACAATGTTGATGTTTTTTGAAAAGAAGGCAAAATGAAGAGGCTTATGAACTATTAAGGTTAGTACATTAATAACATATAACAAATAGGGCTCCTTTTAGCATCAGCATCCTGGAGGCTGAAAGTATAATGGACTGCTTTTTTAGAAAGTAGTGTTCCTAACTCTTTTATAAAAATAAGCGAAGATTCTCTGGAATTCTGGTTTATTATTGTGTGAGAGTGTTACCATAGTATAGTTGGTATTTGAACAAGCAACACTTCGGACTTTCAAATAGAGCTCATTTATGTTGGGTAAAGAATTAGCTCCATATGATGAAGAAGAATTTGATTCTTTTTGTCCCACTACCCTCACTAAAGTAGGGAAGCTTAACCTGCTAAGCTAGTATCCTCTTCAAAGCATTTGGAAAGCTGATTATACCATGCACTGCTTTTGTAGAGGAAAATTTAATTACGATTGCTAATAGTATAGTTTCATTTATGTAAGTTTGCCATTTGACCGTTCTCAAATAATCAGAACTAGATATATTTTTTGAATTAAAATGGCTATAAAATATATTTTAAAGAAATGGCATAAATAAATCATTAATGATAATAATTGCAACAAAGCTATAATAACTTATAGTAGTTCTGTCTAGCAGGAGACATGTGTAACTAGCTCAAGAGAATGCTGCTTTGGAAGAAAAAGCAAAAAAAGTAAAGTGTGCTGCTTATATATTGCCCCATAGTGCTTCAAGCACTCTCTGAGCAGTTTACAAGTTAATTATGCAGGCTACACATTCCCCCCCCCCCCGTGAGCTGGGTACTCATTTTACTGACTTCGGAAGGACAGAAAGCTGAGTCAACCTTGAGCCGGTTACCTGGTATTGAACCCCAGGTTGTGAGCACAGTTTTGGCTTCAGTTACAGCAGTTTAACCACTGCACCATGAGGCTCTTAGTGAAGTGTAATTTGTAATTGAGTAATCTGTGTTGACTATGATGCTGTCATTTGATGAGCAAGTGCTTCTTTGAAGATGCTATTAGAATATGAATGGAAAACCAGTAGCAAGACTCTTTATTCTTCTTGCAATTTTCTGTCATCCGATCTTCACTGCATCTTTTTGACGGCATTAGAACTTGACAATTACACAAGTTTCTCTTGAACCTTTGTTTACCAACATCCGCACCAGTTTGCCATATTTGCCATTTTCTGTACATTTCAAGTTCCTAACCTAACTTTCATCTTAAAAACTCTTAACATCCTTTGGCCATCTAAAGCCTGACAGTGGTTTATGGCCGTTTTGCATTTCTGTCTAGCTATGATGAGTGTACTTGGAAGATATGATGTACTGAATTGCTATTGCTTTACATATCTCAGTACTACATCCAGTTGCAGTCATCAGGCCTTGTCCCCAAACCTTGTCATCCTGCCCAATCAACATGGAGAAACACAAAGGGGCATGCCATGTGGAAACAAACAGACCAACCGAACTGCAAGAGGCAAAGATACGCTGAGGCAGTGGAGGTGTCGTCTTGCGTGAGGGCAAGAGGCCCTGCCCAGGATTCTCTCAAGGAAGCCAACCTTTTTTTTCCCTCTGAGGCAAGGAGAGTAAAGTTAAAACTTTCTTCGGGCACTTGGTAGTTTTTTTTTTCATTATATCGGCCTTTGTTTCCCTCCCTGGTTGTATTTTTCAAGATGTATATTGGGAATCCTCAGATAAAACAGAAATCATAGCTTTTTCCATGTAGCTTCCTCTCAGGGCCAAAGGTTTTCCACATAAAGAAACAAGGGAAGAAGCTGAGACTTAACTAAATGTATAGGTGAATAATATTAATTATGTCCTAGAGTAATGAATTTTTCGTGGCCGTTATCATTGCATTGATACCAGTTTAGACGAAAACATAAGGAATTGTGAGAAATACTGGGCAGAAGTTTTAAAATGGGTTGTATCTGTCATTAGATTTATTTCTGAATGTGGTCTTGCATTCCGTGGAACAGTGGAGAGATTTGGATGACCAAACGATGGAAACTATCTGGAATTGTTGTTGTGGGGTTTTTTTTGGGCTGTTATCTGGGATTGCTGAAATTAACTGAATAATTTGACCCTTCTTTATCTACACATATTGATAGGTATGGTAACAAAGATAAAAGTCATCCTTCTTACTTCTCGTTGCATGTCTGTGAAGAATTTATTAATTTGATGGCCATGAAAGTTCAAAACACAGAGTCAAGTAATATCGCTTTCTAAAAAATAAGTAAATCAAGAAATTCGAAAGTGTCTTCATGTGCATCATGTGGAGCAGGATTTTAAATCAGTTTTATAAAACAAGTGTCTGTTTGCAATCAAATAAGCTGCAGCTGGGCACTTCAACCAAAATGCTTGAGTCAATGTATTCCCGAAGGCTTTCACGGCTGGGATCCAATGGTTGTTGTAGGTTTTCCGGACTGTTTGGCCGTGTTCTTAATGTTTTTCTTCCTAATGTTTCCCCACTCTCTGTGGCTGGCATCTTCAGAGGACAGGAGTCAGAACTCTGTCTGTGCTCTGGTGCAGTTTGTGGGATAGTTGAGCATTTATAGCTGTGGGATCAGCTTTTGTCCTTTTCAGGAGACTTGATTATGGTGATCAGCATGTTTTCTTGTTATGGGTGTATTGTTGTGATAAGAGGGAGAGATTATCTGTCACTTTAATTGATGGATGTCATTAGCTGGTCTTTTGTGTGCAGTAATCACCAGTCCTTGTCACTTGTGAAATATGTTCAGAGTTTCAGAAATGAGTTTCAAGACATGGAAAAAACATCTAAGACTATCCTGCCTGATAGTGAGTATGAAAGCTGTAATAGAAAACACAAAACCTTTTTTTGATGAGGCCAGGAATGAAGATGTTGTTCTAGAAGGAAGAAGAAAGTTTCAAGTTCAAACTTATAATGTAGTTATTGACATACTTGTCAATTTTCTGCATGAAAGGGGGTCGATATTCTTCAATAAACAGGAAGTTTGGCTTTTAGGATAACTTGGCTTTCAAATCACTTCAATCAAGAAAACATGCATTTTGTCTACAACAAGCTTATCAGGATGATTTGGAAAACACATTTACAGATGAAGTTGCTTTCCAGAGTTTACTACAATTTGCCTCCCCAGCAACAGCTGCAGCAAAGAGCACAAAGATTATCCAAATAGTGCGTACTGTAGCAAATTCTTACTATCACACCAAGAGCTTTTAGTACCTTCCACAATTATTGTAAATAAGTTTATTGTATTTTGTGACTTTTTGACAAGAGGTAAGCACAGGCTTCGGATGACCACTCAGTCATGAAAATTCTGCCTGACTTGTGTATCTGGAGCACTAACATATTTCAGTTTCTTATAACAGGCCATTTGCAATATGTATTACTTAAGCTCTTGAATTAAAACTGTAGAGATCTGTAGGGTGCTAATTCTTGTTTGTAGGCAGGCTGGATAGCTCAGTGAATTAGGTATTGGTTGTGCGTTCAATTCTTACTGTGCCTCAGTTAGCCCATGTGACCTTACGCAAGCTGTACAGTATCAGAGCACCCCCAGAAGAAGGAAATCATAAACCACATCTAGCTACTCTATACTCAGAAAGCTCTGGGGAAAAAAGGGTTGCTATAAGTCAGAACTGACTTGACAGCATGTAACAATTATTATTAATGTCAGTTCTTTGCACCCCCCCAACTCCAAAGCGTGCCGCTTATATACTACCCCCTAGTGCTTAAAGGACTCTCTGAGCAGTTTGCAATTTAATTGTGCAGGCTACACATTGTCCTCCACCCCCAGCAAGCTGGGTATTCAATTTACCAAGCTTGGAAGGATGGAAGGCCAAGTGAGCCTCAAGCCTGCTACCCGGGACTGAACCCAGGATGTGAGCAGAGTTTTGGTGGCAGTACTCCAGTTTAACCACTGCGCCATGAGGCTCCTTCTTGCCTTCTTAGTTGGAAACTGCTATGGCAGTGGACGATAGCAGGAGATTAGTTGACTACCGTCGCTAGAGTTTTTGGTTGCTTTGTTTTAAATGTCTGAACTATTCGTCCTATTTTTGGAAGCTGGTAGCCCATTTTTCATACAGGTCTGGGGAATGTTTTTCTTAGGTAAAGAAGAATTTTAAGGCAGTCATTGGGAACATGCTTCCTTTAGTTCATGGTACAGTCTCATGGGGGTGGACTTTGACATCCAGGAAATTTCCTATTCCCTTTTCCTTCAAAGCTATTTGAGCAAGACATTGGTATTTTTAAATTCAAAATTCACCGGCGGAAGCTTGTTTATACTTTTTATTTCCTTTGGTGAAGATATGAAACAAAAAAGAGCTTTGAGGAAGGTTGGGGCATTTATTTATTTATTTTTCAACTGTCCACAAATTGTTTATTCATACTTTGTATATGTAACAGAGACAGTCATATTTTTTTCACTCTAAATTAAGAACATTAAAGATTAGTTGATTGCAATTATAATTTCTATAGTTGAGCAAATTTAATATAAGACAGTAAATCTTATTTCAAGCTTATTTTCCTCTCTTACCCTTTTTTGGGGGGAGGGAACAGCTGGATATACAATGACAGTGAGGGGAGCATTTATGTGAAAAATAACGCAAACAGTTCTGGTCCAGAGATACAGAAGCACCTAGATAAACCATACCAGTTTGGGACAATTTATCTAAGGACATGTTTCACTGCCAGTTCATCCCAAATAAATTGTTTCAGTGGGCTAGGTTTGTCCAGTGAGAAAAGTGATCTAATTACTGATTTAAATAAGAAGATAATCCTATGATTTAATAAAATTGAATCAGTTCAATAAACACATTTGAATAAGAAAAAAAAATCCTAAAATATATTTATGAATACAGATTAGCAGTGAATAATGTAGTCAGTACTCGTAGATTATTAAAGAACTCCTGCTGAAGACTGGAGCTGAGGCTATAATGCTTTGTTTCTATTTTTCCTACTCATAGCATTAGACTTCTTAAAGTAATCAAGTTTTTTTCTCCTTTCCTAAGAAATATTTATTCAGGATGTTCTGAGGGACCTGAAGAAACATCATGTGGACGTAGATAAGTTGAGCCCACTGGAGCTGGATGAGATGGCTGATGTGATTGCTGATGCCATTCAAGCTGTTGGTGTTGATGAAGAAAGGGAAAATACCGCTGGGAAGGTTGAAGGAGAGAGAACAGAAAAGGGAATGGATAAAGAAGGAAAAGAAGATGATTATAAGATGGAATTAATGAGTAAAAATCATCCCATGCAAGGTACTATATTCAACCCAGAAGCTTTCCTTTGTTTTGATTGTTTTCTAAAGGGTTCATATTTGAAAACAGTATTGGAAACAGTTGCTGCTTGACAATTGCTCAGTGCTTCCAGTTGTGTCCCATTCCTCCCTGTTTCTTCCAGCATAACAACATGCTTCTCTTTTCTCCTGCCATGAGTGCATTGTGTTCAGAGGGTTGAGCTGAGTGTTATAATGCTACTGCAACTTGTTCCAAATAATTAGATGAGTACAAATTTGCAGTGTTGTCAAAAACAATTCAGACCTTTTTTTTTAAAATTACAATTTCCCTTCACATCTCCTTAACCAAAAGCTATATATCCTTCGACATTGGTTTGGATTCTAGGGCGCATGAAGGCAGCCTCAGTCGTATCTAATTCCCCATTTACCTTTGTCAGTTGCAAGGAATCCTTGCAACTGTCAAGGTGCAGTAGTGCACTCTTCTAACAGTGCAAAGAAGTGGCACAAGAACAGCATGGAGGGTGGCTCTACATCCTGCTGGTTTGATAGCTTTCAGTCCCATAATTTGGCTTGGTGTGCATATTTTCCTCAACCAAATTATGGGACTGGGAGTTCATGCATTCTGAAAATCTCATACCTACTGGCATACTACAAAATATTATTGTTCCTTCTCTGAGATATACAATTCAGTATCACAGTATTTAACAGGGTATGTTCACAATAGACTAAAAATCATTACTTATATTTCTCCAAAGATGTTCAGAACATGTGTATCCCAATTTCTCTTGGAAAGTACTTCAGCTGTAAATCTATTGCCATCCCCCAATTTATTACTGTAAATATTTTGTTTGTGCTAGAAAAAGACATTGTATTGATTTTTAAAGGCACTGGTAAACAGAAGTAAATTCTTCAGCCATACCATTGAACTAATTAATATAATGCACTCTTACACTACTGCATCCATTGATCTTCCATTAGTAAGCTGTCCAAATGGAGTCAATGTGACAAACCTGATCTATGCTTTTTCTTTCGTGTTTCAGCTATATCTTAATATTTAATGTACAATAAAAAGAGCACAATCTATAAGAAATTGAAGCAGTGTATATATTAAATATAATATCCCATGCCTTATAACAAATACTTTTACAATATTTCCACAGATGCAGAAGCACAGAATGAAGATGTCATGACTAAAAAGGAGGTAAATTATAAATTTAAATATAAATATCCAAGTTTCATCACACAGAATATGTTAGTTATGCAGAGTACACTAAATATAATTGAAATGGTTGAGTCTACAGTGGTGCCTCGCTTTACAATTGCCCCACATTACAACGAAACCCCATTACAACGATCTTTTTGTGATCGCAATTGTGATCGCAAAATGATGGTCTGAATGGGTGTTTTTCGCTTTGCGATGATCGGTTCCCTGCTTCGGGAACCGATTCTTTGCAAAACAACAATTTTCCTCCAGCTGATCAGCGGGTTAAAAATAGCTGGCAGGTAAATAAAATGGCTCCCCGCTGTTTTCTGGGACGGATTCCTCGCTGCACAGGCACCGAAAATGGCTGCCCTATGGAGGATCTTCGCTGGACAGTGAGTTTCCAGCCCATTGGAACACATTGAAGGGGTTTCAATGTGTTTCAATTGGCTTTTTATTTTCGCATTACAACATTTTCATTTTACAGCGATTTAGCTGGAATGAATTAATGTCGTAATGCGAGGCACCACTGTATATATATTATTAAACATTCCAAAATATGTGTTAGTATACTTAAATCTATTTATAATTTATTTCAGAAGATGTAAATACAGTTGTGTCTTAATTTTGAACCACTGAGTACACTAAATATATTTGAAATGGTTGAGCCTATATATTATTAAACATTCCAAAATATATGTAAGTATACTTAAATCCATTTATAACTTATTTCAGAAAATGTAAATACAGTTTTGTCGTAATTTGGAACCATTGAAGTTTGTTCAACAAATCAACAGAACTAAAAACAAAAAAGTGTAATATTTCATTTAGGCCATGAGGCTATCTCAGAAAGATGGTAGCATACTCCCTTGAATAAAATGAATTAGTGTAAAATTTTAATGCCAGACACCAACTGAATTAATGCCAGTTTCTTGGCCTATATGAGATATTATCTTCCATTCCACAAGCTGAATCACAGCTTCTGAAGAAGAAATTACCAAATGATGTAGTCCCTAAATAGAAAACCTAGTTCCACAGATTTGAACAATAACAGTAATTAATGGTGACCCAAAAATTCTGAAATTAAATTTTGGGGGAGAATAAGAGGCTATTCAATTTGAGGTTTCAAGCTAGGTTTGAGACTTCAAGTAATATGAATTATTTGTTGTATTTTGGCGGTAGAGAGCAGTTAATGTTGTCATGGAGTCATGCATGCACCAATTTCTTTCCCCCATTATTTTAGTTCACAAAGAAAACTAGTTTGTTGCCACTTGCTATGGCTGTTTTTTCCCTCTCTGCCCAGTCATATAAATCAATTAAATAAGAACCCACTGAATCCATTAAAGAACCTCTGAACAAAAAATGCATGTAGAGGTATTTGTTTAATATGCATGATATCTAAATATTAATATGGATTTGGAAAAAAAATCTACCTTTGTTTTAATTTTGAAAACTGAGGCTAATGTTGTAGCTTTTGCTTATAGACCTGCCTGAATGTTCACATGTTCAAAAATATGGAACATTTTGAAAAAGTAAGAGTAATAGAATTTAAGAAGAAAAGCAATTCCAGAATGCCATTTTTCTTCTGAAATATAACAGTTATCCAGAGTTACTGTTGAGGCTAAAATGACTTTCAGTCGTAATCCTTAATAAAATAAATAAATAAACTGTATGCTTTCAGTATGTATTCATTTACTTACTAAAGCATCAGTCTTTTTTGAGTTTTGCAGAACTGAATTTGTGAATTACATATAAGTATCCCTGTTAATACATGTGGGGAAAAACCAACTCTGTTGTTTCACTGTAGGGAGACCATTTGGGTACAAAACTGCCTGATATCCTGTATGAGAATATGGCAACTGAAAATCTGCTTAAGGAGCTTTTCCCTAAAGAGACCCTTAAAACAGAAATGAAGAAGTCAGAAGATTTAGATATTTCTTCTTCTTCCTCTGAAGAAGTAAAGGCTGGGATTGAAAATGTAAAGAGTGAAACATTCTCAAGGGAACTCATCACTGAAAAGAAAGCTGAGTTGGAAACTAACTCTAAAGAGCTGACTGAGCTTCATCACTGGATTAAGAATACTTTGATTCAGGGTGAAACTACTTACGGCGAAACTGGGAAAAAGATGGAAGAAGGCTTACAGTTAGATGCAAAGTCTTCCAAAGAAAAGGAATATGGCTACATTGTGACAGAGAAAGAGTAAGTAAAATATTAAAGAAATCTACATAAAATAGAACACTTGCCAAAGTGTTATTTGCAAATATTAAAATACTGTAATGGGCTAAATCCAATCTTCTAATAGCAGTTGAGGCAAGAACTCTTCTTCCTTTTCTCCTCTTCCCCATTTAGCTCACCTCACTGCCTGGAGATGGCTTTTGTCGGGTTTTCTCCTGTTCCTAGACCTGGTTTTGGAGTGCATGGGGGAGTGCAGTGGGAAGGAGATAGTTGCTTCCTCTTCATTGTTCTGTAGCCTGCAGTTCTATGAGTGGAATGCTGATGCCCGTTTATGTAGTTTATTTTTCATATTTATACTCCCTAGCCGTTGTCCAAACAGATCTTCAAGGCACCTTGCAATAATACATAACAAACAATGGTAGAAATACCCAGATTGTAGTGAAAGATGGAAAATATCCAACTGCTTTAAAAAAGAAAAGAAAAGAATGGAAGATCTGCTGTTCTGCTAATATAAAAACCATCAGGGGAAAAACTTATATACTGTAATTCCTATTTTGTAATTTACATGGATTATAATTGTTGGAGATTGTCTTTTAAAGATATTAGAAGACTATTTTGTTGTCTACTGTCTCTAATGAAATATTTATTTTTTAAAAATTGACAGCACTATTTTGTCAGTTTCTCTCTCCAAGGATCCATTTGAAGGAACAGTCAGAACTTCCATATCTCCTATGTAATTAATAAAATGAAGATCATTTATCTACTGCTCACATTCTCCTTTGATAGTGCTGGTTGGAGTACTAATGGTTTTACAGATATGCACATTAATAATTCGATTAACAGTTCAAAATATGATAAACATTACACATTCCAGCTTTATATCTAAACTACTATGCTAGATGGTTCAACAGGTCCATAGTTACTTAGGACTAAGCTGTATTGAACTAGTGACCTCTAAGTAAATTTATGCAAAATTGGGCTACCTCTTTTATTTTAGTGTTTTGAGCCCTGGTGAGTATTGTATAGATCCTGAATCTGTTCATGAAATGATGCTAATAATACAATTTATTCTTTACAGTTAAAAACTCTTCTGCCATTTTGGTTTGCTGAGTTTCTGAAAGAAATAAGGTCGCCACTAGGGTCTTACAGTAGTTAGAAAACAACTGACTATGCCGAGATTATGTTTAATGTATTTTGGAGAAAACATCTGGTAGTGTTAGCAACAACTCCTGAATAGAAAGTCTGGGAAGCTAAATATTGGTTAGTCCATTTCACTGTTCAGCAGCTCTTACTGGAAGATCTTTCTAATTTTTAGTCAAAATTCTTTTTCCTGTAATTTGAATCCATTAACTTGACCCTACTCAATGGAATTTCAGAAAACATGCTTGTTCCATCTTCCCATGCAATAACCATTCAAATTTGGCTCTCATATGTCCCATCAATTATATTTTCTTTAGGCTAAATATACTCAACTCCCTCAAAGAGTGTGGTTTCCATAGTACTTTACTACCCCGGTTGCCCTCCTCTGGATATGATCCACTTTGTCAATATCCATTTTAATCTGGGATTTTCAGGGTTTATAGATTTAGCATCACATCACAACATGTCAAATCTATAAAGTAGCCCTAGATAATAGGAAAAGTGAAGGGAACAACATGATTTGATTAAATATAAAAGAGATAGAAAAGAGATTATTGATAGATTCTGAGTCTGGGATGGGCAAAATGAGAGCCTCTAGACGTTGTTGGTCTGCAAATCTATTGGTTATGATTTTTATTTCACATGAGAATTATACTGAATCAAAAGGTAATCCATTTCACTGTTCAGTAGCTCTGTTGGTTATACAGTACTAGCTAGTGCTGCTACGAGTTACTGTCCAACAAAATATGTGTGTTGTACTTTCACCGCCCCTGCTATAACTTGAAACAGTCTATAATAGTCTACTGTGGGAGAAAAATGGTTGGGTACAAGGCAATATTGCTATTTCAGGCATATTGGGAGAAGCAGGAATGCAAAAAAAGAGTCAGGGATTAGTAGCAGTTATATGATTATTAAATGGAATTAAATTCTATATTTTGATTCCTGTTTGTACAATTTTTATTAGCAACACTTACTATAGAAAAATATTTTTCACCCAAGCCAAAATCAGCTATCCTTTTGGCAAAAAAAGGTCTTGCATATTTGAGCACTGAGGTTAATAGCTTGGTGTTCTTTTTACTGTACTGTGTGATCTCACTTGTGACTAAAAACCTGTGAATTCAGCGGTATGTTTACAAAGAAATTAGAAGTGATTCATTGACAGATCCAGTATTGAGTCATATGGCTCTATCGTCATGTTCTGAGATCTTTAAGACAGCTTCACTGTATGGCGAAGCCCAGAAATTTTAATTATGTCATGGAGGAGAGAGAAATATCTTCCTTGCAGTTCTCAAAGACAAGACTTGTCAGAATGGTACCCTACTTGTCAGTGGCAGAATAACAGGTTGCTCATTGAGTGACCTTTCAGACTTTTAGATCAACAAAATGACAATTGTAGGTTTGGTTATTCTCTGGCAAATCTTCTTGGTTGCTGCTTCAGCATTTTGTTATCGTTGGAACATATTCAAAATGGGTAAGCTGTAGCTGCTTCCTGCAGATTTTGTTCTCTTAGACATCCACTGAAACCAATTGGATTTAAGTTAGTCTTGATTCACATAGGTCCAGTTACTTTCAATGGGTCTGCTTTCAATAAAACCTGGGGTAAAGACCTATCTGAGAGGGTTTGGGTGTAATTTTTCCCCTGTAGTTTTGATATATTTTCTTGTTGGCTGGCTTTTCTAGTAAGGATTAAGACATAGGGTGAAGGAGGCTGTTTCATTCTGGCCCCTCTGTAACTCAAACACTAGTTATTGAGCCTCGTGGCGCAGTGGTTAAACTACTGTACTGCAGTCAAAACTGTGCTCACGACTCAGGGTTCAATCCCAAGTAGCCGGCTCAAGGCTGACTCAGCCTTCTATCCTTCTGAGGTTGGTAAAATGAGGACCCAGCTCATGGGGGGGACACGATGTGTAGCTTCCATAATTAACTTGTAAACTGCCCAGGGAGTGCTTGAAGCACTATGGGGCGGTATATAAGCAGCACACTTTGCTTTTTTGCTTTTATTGTTGGATGACATTGGATTTTCGCAAATGGGTTAGATATCCCATTTAGTGCACAAACCTATTTGCAATAGAGGAGGGAAATACCTGTCCTGCTCAGGGCTTTCCTGTGCACGAGCCCTTATAATGCTCTTGGTATTTGTTCTGTGTTTTACACACAGCAATAAAATGGAAAATACTGCAGCGTATAGCTACAGTATAGCTCTTTGGCAAATTTGGATAAATATGTTATGAGTTCTTTAACTGTGTCGATGTTGTACAAATGGAAGTTTGGATAAATACTGTATGTTATGAGTTCTTTAACTGTGTCGATGTTGTAGGTGGAGTCAGCATGAACGTGACATGAAACAGCCAGGTACAACCCTCTTCAGTGTCACACTGCCATAGTAGCTCTGGAGAGCTTATCCCTTGTTCACTCACTCTATATTCATGTTAGCTTTTCCATGATATGTAATCTCCATTGACCTTCATAGTCTGACCACTGAAATTGATTTTTGCAAAGTGTCATATGCTTTATAAATTGGCCTGGACTTGAATCTGTCTGAGTTAAAAGGTTTAAATTTCACACCTATTTGTGGTGGGAAAGGAGGAACAGGAAGGTATGTGCATAAAATGTGGCAAGCAGAGATTTGCTATCTTGTCAAAACTGAAGTAAGGTTATGAATGTTCAGTAGTTAATAAAGCCTTAGAGGAAACAAGGCTGGAGGAAAATGAATTGCTGCCAAATCAAGCTAAATTGCAGCGTTCCCAAAATCATGAGTGAAGACTTATTTGAGATCTAAGGTACCAGAACTCTGGGACATCTATTTGTGACACAACATGGTTGCTAAATAAAAATCCCAATTAAATGTGGCCTGCTGCATGCAATAATTCCTTAACATCTCAATTTGAAATATTCTAAGATTCAGCTGTGATTCAAGACGTGAGTCTTGTTGTTGTTGTTTAGTTGTTAAATCGTGTCCAACTCTTTGTGACCCCATAGACCAGAGCATGCCAGCCCCACCTGTCTTCCACTGCCTCCCGGAGTTTGGTCAAATTCATGTTGGTTGCTTCGGTGACACTATCCATCGATCTCATCCTCTGTTGTCCGCTTCTTCTCTTGCCTTCACACTTTCCCAACATCAGGGTCTTTTCTAGGGAGTCTTCTCTTCTCATGAGATGGCCAAAGTATTGGAGCCTCAGTTTCAGGATCTGTCCTTCCAGTGAGCACTCAGGGTTGATTTCCTTCATAATGGATAGGTCTGATCTCCTTGCATGTCCAGGGGATTCCCAAGAGCCTCCTCCAGCACCACAATTCAAAAGCATCAATTCTTCAGCGGTCAGCCTTCTTTATGGTCCAGCTCTCACTTCCATACAACACTACTGGAAAAACCATAGCTTTGGCTATGCAGACCTTTGTCGACAAGGTGATGTCTCTGCTTTTTAAGATGCTGTCGAGGTTTGTCATCGTTTTCCTCCAAAGAAGCAGGCACCTTTTTATTTTGTGGCTGTTGTCACCATCTGCAGTGATCATGGAGCTCAAGAAAGTAAAATCTGTCACTGCCTCCATATCTTCTCTTTCTATTTGCCCGGAGGTGATGGGACCAATGGCCATGATCTTAGTTTTTTTGATGTTGAGCTTCAGACCACTTTTTGCGCTCTCTTCTTTCACTCTCATTAAAAGGTTCTTTAATTCCTCCTCAGTTTCTGCCATCAGCGTGGTATCATCTGCATATCTGAGGTTACTGATATTTCTTCTGGCAATCTTAAATCTGGCCTGGGATTCCTCCCGTCCTGCCTTTCGCATGATATATTCTGCATATACGTTAAATAAGCAGGGAGACAATATGCAGCCTTATCATACCCCTTTCCCAATTTTGAACCAATCAGTTGTTCCATATCCAGACG